CAGACCCCACACCCCTGGCACCCTGTTTGTGACTGGGGATGATTTAATGGCCAARGAAAATGTGTTTGCTGTGCTTCCAAAGCATGCTGGGTTTGCTTTTCTCTCCACAGGTGGCTCAGCACCTGGCTTCAACCTACGGGGACAAGGCTTTTGAGGTGGCCAAAATAGCCCAGGTGACAGGGAAGAGGTGGCCCATTGTTGGGAAACGCCTGGTGTCAGAATTTCCCTACATTGAAGCTGAGGTGTGTGTGAAAACCACGGTCTGTTCTGTTATTGTGTGCTTGGGATGAGCAGGTTCTGGAAACATCCCCTTGAGCCCTTTCCTTTGGGGAGGACAAGATTTATCTGTGTCCATTTTCCCCCTTTCTTTGAGCACACTTTATATATCTATTTATACCCATATTAATATATTTATGTATAATCAAATATTTATATACAGTGTTTTTTACTTTGTAGTAAAGCAATTCCCAGGTGCATTCTGTGAAATGTCCTGAGGCAATGGGAGCTTTCCCAGCCCTTTTCCTGCAGGGTGGGACACAAAGTCMCAYAGACACCAAYATGATGAGCATGATCCATTTATTTCTAATTCAAACTCCTTTTTATCTACTTTCATAAGCCAGCCTCTCTATATGATTAGCAATTATTCATTGGTTAATTTAGCAGTCTGTCTATTACATTTCAGCATATGAYTGGTATATTTGCAAAAGCGTGTTTTTGCAGTTTTAAATCAGCATTTTCAGCATTTTGCTCTTTCTCCAATCATCCTATTGTTCTTCAGTTGCTCTTTTTTTTTGCTTCTTACTCTGTTTCTTCTTCATGGTCAGTGTGAGGTACAGGTTACACTGCTGTAGTCATGTCCTGTTGCTGTTGGCATAACAGACACAAAAACACACATATATATATACAAAAAGCAATCTCTTTATTTTGGGATAGGCTTTTTTATCTACTTTAGCAACCAGTGCATACATTTGTGTTAAACATCCATTGGTTAGTGAGGCTGTCACTTTCTACTTATCAGTACAAAATTAGTAAATTTACAACAACTACAGTATTAATAACGTTTATAATTATAAACCACCTACATTATCAATTCTACATTCTAATCTTTTTCTCAAAACAGCCACAAACGTAGCATTTTATTCCCATACAAGCTGTTAACACTCCCTACAGCATCCTCCTCTTTCCCATCCTGTTCTGTCTTGCAGTCTGGGTTGCTCTATAACAGCAATTCATGACTTTGTTGCCATGAAAACCTGTCTAACAGGGATTCACCTAATGAAATCCTTCTCCAGTGGGTTCTCTGTCCCAAACTG